GGCTTCAGCCTGTCGCACACTTAGCTGTCAACAGCCATTCAAGGAGTGAAAGATTGGCATCTCTTTGTCTTTCTTGATCTTCCTCTGTTGCTTTGCTTTTAAATAAATCTTTTTAAAAATGTAACAAGGGTTTTTCCCCAAACCTTTTTAATTAAAAATAGAGGTAGAATAAGGATTTGTTTCCTCCAGTCTCTCTTTGGGTAGGGTAAAAGAGCTGGGGTGGCACAGAGCAGCCAGTAAGTGATTAGGTCAGAAGAATGCCACAGGTAAGGTAAAGGGATGCTCTAACTGTGGTTACCTGTGTGGAGTAGTTTCATCCTTTTACTTTTGTGTGCTAAATACTTCCTACATGTCCCTGGATGTTAAAAATATTGGGAAGTAAATGCATGGGGCTGAGGTCTTTGACTGCATAAGAGCCTGGAACAAAGTTAGAGCTAATACACAGAACAAAAGCTAAGTTCTGTGCTATCCCAAGTGATAGATTGGAAGTGATAATAGGTTCAATCAAAATTAAGTATGTTAGGAGCAGCCACACTTCTAAATTACGAGAGAAGAACTATTTTTTCTGCCAAGGGCCACCTGGATTTTTATAACATCATTTGCAGGCCATATACAATTGTCTACGTAAAAATTAACAAGCTATATATTTGTTGAATTTTGAGTCCTGTGCGTGGTTGCCTTTGGCAGGACCAGACCAAATCATTTCACAGCACATGGGCCTGATGCTCCTCACCCTGTAATCTGAACAGTAGATTAGTTAGCAGAACTAGGGTAACAACCTGAAGAAATACTGCTTACAGATCAGTGTGTGGACTTGACGTGAAATCTGTACCTGATCCCTTCTAGGCAGAAGTGAATCCCTGAATGACAGCTGTTCAGGTGGTTTCCCCACCTTCCTCCCACAGAAGCTTAGGACAACTGTCTTTAAGTACTAGAGATATTCGAGTTAGTCTCCTCCTTGTGAAAGTGATATGGAGGAGAGACATGACCTTTTACAAGTGGCTGCAAAGGACAGCAGAGCTAAGGAGAAGGTTCGGGGACGTGGGAGAAAGATGGCCCACTGTATAGTTTTCATGACTGCACTGAGTTGGGTCTTTAACTCCTTTGGGAATTGATTATGGCAGTATGACATTGAACTGAGAATCAAAAGACCTGATTTTGATCTCATTTGTCACTAGTTGACTGGGACCTTAGGCAGGCCCTATCCTCTCCTGATCTCATCAATAAGGTAATGGGAATGGAGAGGATTCCTAAGGTCCTTCCCAGCTCTGATCTTCTATGGTTCTGTTATTTTATCTGGCACTTACTCCTTTCTTTTCAATGCCCAGGTATTATCCACGCAGCAGAGGAGAAGGACTGGAAAACTGCATACTCATACTTCTATGAGGCATTTGAGGGTTATGACTCCATTGATAGCCCCAAGGCCATCACCTCTCTGAAGTACATGTTGCTCTGCAAAATCATGCTCAACACGTAGGTGCACGTTAACTTTGAAATATAAGAACTCAGATCCTTCAGCTAAGTCTGTCTGCCATGGCCGGGAGTTGGCCAAGAGCAACTGCCACCCCTGGGGCTGGTTGAGGTGGTAGAATGGGAGGGTCAGAGTGTTGCTAGGCTTTGAGAACTGGGATGATGAATTTCAGAAATCCCCTTCCCAGCCCCTCTTGTGGAAGTCTTCTCAGTTCTCAAGTAGTCTGTCTGACAGAGGATCAGAAACTAGTTTATAGACCAGCACTGCCCGGCCAGGCTGTGTAGAAAGGGTAGGGAAGAGAGTTTGGAAGCATAAACAACAAAAAGTGTGACAAATAAAGAATTTTACAGAATTATTCTTGCACTTGTGGGAGTAAATGAGATACTGACTGGGACTTGTTTTTTATCTTTGGATTACCCAGGGGTTGTGTTTTAATTAGACCTGTTATAATGGGATTTGGTTTATCATTCTGCCTGTTGGGTGTATTGCTTTCAGTAGTTTCCATTTGACTTTCTTTGTAACATTAGAGATTTTTTACTTACTAACACTCAGCTTTGGCCCAGAGTAGAGAAAGTCTAGCTTTTAGAATGAGGGGCCTATGCATGTAAAAGTTGAAGCTGATCATCTCCATGGTCAGTGTCTTCACAGGGCTCACAGATGAATTGTAGAAAAAGAAAATTCACCCTAACCTGTACTTAGAAGTGTCACATCCAGGAGCAATTGACCAAGTGTGTGTTTTTTTCTAGCCCAGAAGACGTCCAGGCTTTGGTGAGCGGGAAGCTTGCCCTTCGGTATGCAGGGAGGCAGGTAGGGACACCCTGGTTGCAGTTCTCCTCACTGCCAGGTGGCCTGTGGTCAGGGCAGCGTGTCTGACGTGACTGGTGCTCTTGAGGACCCCAGGCTGCTCTGCTCTCTTGCCACCTGCTTCCTTCTCCTGAGCACATTCAGTGTGTTTCTTATACTGTTCAATTCTTAGCCCAGAAAGTCAGTATTTGGTGCAAGATCTTATGGGCACTAAGTGGTTTGAGGGACTTGAAAAACTGAATTATATAATGAGTAAGATTGTATTTAGCTTTGACCAAAGCTTTATCCTAAGCCTAAGAAATGTTAGGTTTCCCGAGTTGGGAGCTTCTTGAGGTCTGATGCGTATGCGCCTCAGGGAGCTCTGGGCACCTTAGGCTGAGGGCTTTCAGCTCAGTACTTTTACAGCTTTGCCTTAAATTTTGAGTTTGAAAAAAGGAGACTGTAGGTGGTTGGTAGCCCTTTTAGTGGTACCTCAAAGTCTGAGTCAGGTGAGACTGCAATGTCTGGGAGCGGATAGGTTGTGACCTATGTAAATTGGATTTCTCAGATGCGTAAGTCATGCCCTCTTTGTGCTTTGCCTTATTATCAACAGTCTGGTTCAAGTAGTTACTGGATTTCAGATGTAGTTGTTTTTAAATAACAAATTGGCTATCTCATATCTTTGGAATGGCCACAGTGTTTTTTCTTCCTTCCCTATTAGTAGCTGTAAAATTGGCCTTCCCTCAGTAAAAGTTTGAAATCAGTTCCCAATTTTGACCTCAGAAATCCTGGTTACTGCTGTAGTGAAAGATCCACTACTATCTGCAAACCTGGAGCTGAGGAACGAGGTCCTGTGCCCAGTACAAGTCAGGTAGCTGTGCCAGTGACCCTGCTGGGAGTTCAGGCTTTCCCTGTGATAACATTGGTTCTACATGTCACTTACAAACTGCACTTGTGATAGCAGCACCATGTAATCTACTGTGTAATCAAGCACATTGTCCTCATTAAAGTGTATATGCTGACAGAAAAGTAACCGCTTCTGGTCCTTTACAGCTTGATGGCAGCTTTTAAACAGTAATCAGGCTGGTCTAGAAAAAATGAGAGTTGCAGATTTCTTGCGGAGTGGAGACTTGATAGCATGGCATTTAATAATTTTATTAGACATTCCTTTCAACCGTTGATTGTGGTTTCATCACTGCGTGGAATTTGAACATTCATTTTTTGTATAGAATACCGAAGCCTCAGCCCTCATGAAAGTAGACCTTAACCAGTACTCCACTAGGCCTCAGGATGACTGCAGAAGCCCCAGCGCAGTCAGTCTGAGGGCCAGGGGGAAGTGTGGGTGCATGTGGAGGTCAGGAGTGTTGGAGGAAGGAGAGAGAGGCCACAGTGGTCCTCATGACTTCCTTCTGGCTAGTCATCTGTGGAGGAGGCTGCCTTGGCATTTGTCTTTCTGGAAAACCTGTTTCCTGCTGTATTTAAGTCCCCAGATTTCAGAAGGAAACTGACAAACAATGGTATTCTGTGCTTGCACCTTTTCTTCCCAGACTTCCGAAGAGGAGTCCTGGTGGGAGGGCTCTACCACGTACTACTTGTGAGAGTTTGTGGGTGAGTGTGAGTGTCCACAACAGATCACCTTCACGATTTGTCTCTTTATTCTCAGACAGAAGCATTAAAATGCGTGGCTCAGGCTAGCAAGAACAGATCGCTGGCAGATTTTGAAAAGGTGAGCATGGTATTGGGGAGGTAGGGGATGGGTGGAGGAGAGTGGATATTTATGTGTTAAAAAACTTACAGAAATAATTAGTTTCATACAAACTTTCAGAAATAATGTAATCATCCCGTGTACCCGTCACCTGGTAAAATATCAAAACCGGACAACATTTATGTGTTTTTACACAAATATATATATGTTATTATGTATTACAATGTACATTGTATATAATTTATATATGGTAACTTTTTCCATTTCAAAGGTTTTTTTTTCATTATTTTTTTCCCCCTAGCAAGCTTACTCTGCATTTTGTAGTTGAGGGAGGCAGGATTCAGGAGGCTGCCCAGGGTCACACGGCTCACGTGTATCAGCACTGACTGGTCCCTTGCAGCACACGGGGCAGTCATAGGTATTTAGTGAGCACTGTACGGGCCTGTTGGTTTCTCTGTGGACAAAGTTTAGACGTGTGTAGTTCACCTGAAAGACACTGTTCTTGATGTTGTAGTTTTCTTTGATTCGTTTCTTTTGCTCATGTCTAGGAAGTTTTTCTGGACTTGTTTATTCTTTTCTTACCATTTCCCCCCTTAGTGTCAATATAACAATCAGCTTAATAAAAAAAGCTAGATCAGAAGAAAGAATTTAGTGGGACACTAGACCATGTGACTCTGACTCTTCCCATTGCTCATCCTTTTGGAAGGTTTGTTCCAATTCTTTTGTCCCTTCCTTGGCACAATTTTCTTGTCCTTTAATGCCTTCACAGCACAGCTGATTGAGACAGTTGTTAACGCTGGATAAGTCATGTATGTGAATAAGTCAAGCTGATTTCCTCTCGGAGTTGGGGATATTTGATTGAACCCTTCAGTGCCAGGTGGCTGTTGGGAAAAAGGATTCTGGGATGGGATCTGTGGGAAGTAGCCAGGGCCGAACAAAACTGGAAAGATCTTCTGTTTCCTTAGGAGTGCAGGGCCATCCTGTGCTAATAATTCTCAGAAACCCCGAGAGTAGCTGTAGAATTCAGTGTTTTCTACTTGTAACCCAGAATTTGTTTTTGTCTTTTTCATGGAGACACTATCTGTTGTGTGGAATACATGCAGAAATATTAAGCTGAGCTGTCCCCTGGGGTTGTAGATGGGAACTGTTAAAGACAGAAAGATGGTGTCTTTTGGATAGCTCTGTTCTAGTTTTCATTTTTCCGTGTGTGTGTGTTTTGAAAGATAGAATGAGAGAGCTTCTGTTGGTTCTTTCCAGAAATGACTACAACGGCTGGAGCTGGACCAAGGTGAAGTCAAGATCACAAATTGGAGCCTGGTGTAGTAGCCTGATGGCTAAACCCTTGCCTTGCAAGCGCTGGGATCCCACATTGGTGCTGATTCATGTCCCTGCTGCTCCATTTCCCATCTAGCTCCATGCTTTTGCCTGGGAAAGCAGTAGAGGACGGCCCAAAGCCTTGTGGCCTACACCCATGTGAGAGACCTGGAGGAGACTGCTAGTTCCTGGCTTTGGATCAGCATAGCATCGGCCATTGTAGCCATTTACTTGCCACTTAGGGAGACAGAAGATCTTCTCTCTATAAATCTGACTTTCCAACATAAATAAATAAATAAAATGAATGAATGAATATATATATAAAAAAAAAGCCAGAATCTCCATCCAGGTCTCCCACATGGGTGTCGAGAGCCATCATCTGCCTTAGCAGGGTGCTGGCTCTGAAGCAGGTAGCCAGGATGTTAACCCAGCACTGTGCTGAGAAATATGGGCATCGTTTTTTTTTTGTTTAGTTTTTTAAAGATTATTTTTATTGGAAAGCCAGATATACAGAGGGGAGGAGAGACAGAGAGGAAGATCGATCTTCCATCCAAGTGACCGCAACGGCTGGTACTATGCCTATCCAAAGCCAGGAGCCAGGAGCTTGTTCTGGGTCTCCCATGCGGGTGCGGAGTCCCAATGCTCTGGGCTGTCCTCGGCTGCTTTTCCAGGCCACAAGCAGGGAGCTGGATGGGAAGTGGAGCTGCTGGGATTAGAACCTACACCTGTATGGGATCCCAGCGCATTAAAGGTGAGGGCGTTAGCCCCTAGGCCACCAGCGCCTGGCCCATGAGATATAGGGATCCTAACTTCCTTTGCCACAGTGCTTGCCTCCATCTTGTAGTTCTTGACACGCTTCCTTTCTGCCTTGGTTTTCCTCTCGTGTTTGCAAATCTTTTAGAACTCCCTTCAGCTATTTAGTCATAAGGGTCAGCAGACTACTTAGCAAGCTAGGAGTAGCATGGCATTAACAGTCCTTCTCTGTGCCAATTTCTGCTCCTGGTTCTTTCAACAGGCCCTGACAGATTATCGAGCAGAACTTCGTGATGACCCAATCATCAGCACACACTTGGCCAAGTTGTATGATAACTTACTGGAACAGAATTTGATCCGGGTCATTGAGCCTTTTTCTCGAGTACAGGTAAGAACCTTCGGGGCCTCCGTCTGTTTTCTGCCTTGACATCCGTGTTTTCCTTCCCCCAGGAGCGCACTTCAGGAGTGTGCCTGGTGAGCACGAGGCCACCCAGAGCTATCCTGACAGCAGTGAGCTGAGGAGGGGGATGTGGGGAGAAGCTTGTGAGGTCACCCCTTGCTTTAGTCCTGAGTCTGCTTTTCCTCTCTAGTCACTCGGCGTGTCACGTTAACATTTTTTGGGGGGTGGTGAATGTGTGGGACAGATAGATCACATGAGATTGAGGCATGGCCAGCGAGACATTTTGCAGGGCGTGGAGGAACAGAGCAGTTCCTTCCCTGCACTCCCATTTTATATTGGAGTCAGAAATAACACATTGAGTGTGGTGTGTCTCTGTTTTCCTTTCAGATTGAACACATATCTAGCCTCATCAAACTCTCCAAGGTAAGGAGTCCGGAGGCCATCGAGTGGGGAGGGATGGGGCAGCGGGACTGGCATTTCTGCCTGATCGGGTGTTACTAGGCTCAGTTGGTAATGGCAGAGCTGGAGTTGTTGCATTGTTTTCAGTCTGATTGCCCTAAGAGCCCTTCTACACAGCTTTCAAGTCAGGAGCATCTTTGGTGGATATTGGTCCCTTTAATCATGTGCTTTGATTTTAGGCCGACGTGGAAAGGAAATTGTCACAGATGATTCTTGACAAGAAGTTTCATGGTGAGTACCAGTCCCACGGGCAGGGGAACTGGGAGGGTGCTGAGGTAGTTGAAGAGGGAAGGAATGTGTTTGAAAGAGGTTCTGTTTGTCTTGCTGGTGCCCGGGGACGCTGAGCCCTGCTCCTGTGGTGAGTGTGTAGTCCACATGGTGGGAGCAGGGCGACAGTCTGGAAGGGAGGGAGGCGTTGGGAAGCGGCCTGCTGCACAGCTGTGGTTTAGACTAATCTTGTCTTGCTGGGTTGTCCTTGTGTCTCCTGCAGGGATTTTGGACCAGGGGGAGGGTGTCCTGATTATTTTCGATGAGCCCCCAGTAGATAAAACTTACGAAGCTGCTCTGGAAACAATTCAGAACATGAGTAAAGTAGTGGATTCCCTCTACAACAAAGCCAAGAAACTGACATAGGTGAGTGCTGGCTCCAGGAGCCAGGCCGGGCAGCGCTGTCTTCCGCCTGCTGCAACTGACGCCTCCTCCTGGTGCCCTGCGGCCTCCTGATTGACTCTGCTCTGTCTTCTCTTGCAGAGTTGGATCTGTAGCGGTCCTTTGGAGAGTGTATGTGGCGGGAGTGAAACCTTGGGGAAAATGCTAGGAGATTGTTTTTTTCTTTTTGTTCTACTTTTCGCTCGGAAAGTTTTTAAATCCTCATTTGGTGCATCTGTAGTCCAGCTGATAGGTGTGCCAGTTTTCATGTAATCTTTACTGGCCCAACTTGGGAGCGGGGAAATTGCTTAAAAAAAAAAGGAAAAAAGAAAAAAAAAAGATTATTCTAAATAAAAGGAAAAAGGCTTACACTACCTACAGCTGTGCTCTCTGCCTCTTGGGAGAGGGCCACAAAGCCAGGCACCCCGCCAGCCACCGGGGATCCAACGTACCCGCTGGGTGTCACCTCTCCTCTTCAGAATTGGGTGTTTGCTAACCATCGAAAGCAATGACTTTTTATTCTGTTTGTACTGAACCAAAACAAACAACTGTGTATAGACTGCTGTTTTCTTTTTTATTTGAAATAAGGCGTCCGGTGTTCTTCCCCCTCACCCGCCATATGGCCTGTCTGCCCTTCCCTCTCCTGACACTGGCTCCAGCCGAAGGTCCTGCTACCCGCAGCAGCAGCAGCAGCAGCAGCAGCAGCACCTGCACAGCTCCGCACTGACCTGTGAAGGAATGGGGACAAGGCCTGGAGCTAGTGTCTGCCGCGGCCACAGAGCGAGCCTGTGGGCCTCAGCCCCCCGGGCCTGTTGTGCATGCGGCTTTTTTTTTAACACAGTAAACTAGATTAGATGTCAGTGTTTTAATTGCCCCCTTTCTCTCCTTTTCTGTCCCTCTCCTCCTCTCTCTCTTCCTCAGCCAGGAGGAGGTGGTCGCGGGCCTCTCTTCCCTCCCCGGCCGTTCCTGCAGAGGAGGCGGGCTGTCTGAAACCCATCAGCTTGCTTCCACTGCTCCTCTCCTGCTGGTGGATGAATTCCTTCCTTTTTAAACAGTGAACATTGGAAATGAGACTGTGGGGTGTTTTTGTGTTCTAAGCATTTCTTGTTTTCGAGCAACCTCATGTCCCCTTCCTGGTGAGTTTCCCTGATCCCCTCTGGGGTGGAAGGGCAGGAGGTGGGCGCTGTGCTTGCGCATGCTCTGTTCCCGACGGCTGTCCTGCTGCTGGGCAGGTAAGCTTCTGCACCGCCGTGTGTGCTGAGCGTCTCTTTCTCCTATTTGTCTTTCTCTTTTCCTTTCCCTATTTTTCCTCCTGCCTTTTCCTGCTGGCCTCTTTTCTCCTTCTTTGCCTTTCTTGGAGTATCCTTCCAGGTTTTCGTAATAAATTTATATTTTGTAAAAAAATTTTGTTGTACCAGGTTTTGCATCTTCACTGAATCTGACTGGCTCTTATTTCCGTATAAAATCAGGTTTTGTTCTCAACATTTTCTCTCCCCATCATGTCCAGTCACTGTTTTGGTTTTGGCACCATCAATATCAAATGTACAAACGGTTCTTGCTAACCAACACCAGGTATATCTGATGTTCAGATGAGTTCCAATAAAAATAATTTTTTTTTCAAAAGGTGTGTTTTCTTGAGTGCTGCTGGCCTCTGAGTGAGTCCCCACAGCTCTGTGCAGCCTGATCACGGCCTAACTCTCCCACCTGCCAAAACCGAGTTTTCTTTGGCTTCAGGGGAACCCTGAGGCAAGTTTGGAATCCAAACTTGGAGGGCTTTGGGCAGTACAGCGTGGGGCAGAGGATGAGTGGGTTTGGGCAGCAAGACCTTCCAGGTCTGTTGGTGTGGCTGTGCTGAGGGGCATCCTGACATCCGAGTGTGCTTTAGTTTCCTTTTGGGATCTTCCAAAGCAGCAGTTTCCATACTTCCTCAGGCTCTGGGAATGGTGCTGAGGGGCTGCCGGGGCCTGCTGGCTCTTTGAGTTGGAGCACTTGTGCCATTCTCAGTTCTAATATTGTCTGTCATTTTACTTGGAGAGTTTTGCTTCTATACAGGACTTTAGAAACACTCCAAAGAGGTCTAAACTGGAGTAGAGGGAGAGGGTCTCCTAAACCTGGGGCAGCACCCTTGGCTCTTGGGTCTCAGTGTGACAACTCCTCCAGCCGTGCGCTGTCCCCTGTTGGGTGGCCTGTGGCCACGTGGCTGCTGGGCTGTTTGGATTGTGACCCGCTGCAAGTGTAAAAACAAACCAGACTTCAAAGACTGAGTATGAACAAGAATGTAAACTGTCTCGATAACTTTTTTATATGTGTGTGGAAATATTTTGGGTATACTGGGTTAAATAAAATACATTATTAAAATCCACCTGTTTCTACTTTTATTGTGGCTGCTAGAAACTATTGAGTTACTTTGTTTTATAATTGTGGCTCAAACCAGACTTCTCTTGGCCAGCATGCCATGGCCTCCTCCCTCAGGCCTCTCCTGATATGAGCCCAGGTGTGGGTGAGGGGTCAGCTGGCCAGGGTCCAAGCCCTCTCACTGAAGGGCCCTTCTGGGAGCCAGCCCTCGGGGTGCCAGGCCCTGCTCAGCGGCTGGCCCCGGGGCCCTGCACAGTGACGCCATCTGTGCTGCCCACAGATGCCACTAGATGCTGTTCCTGATCTCCCCAGTAATGAAGCTGACTTCCTCAGGAGCTGGGGCTCAGCCCGGCTCTACTTGGAGCCCTTGCTAGGAGCTGCAGCTGGCAGCCACCTCAGGTAGCCTGGGAAGTGAGGGGTGCTGAGGCTCTGGTGGGCCAGAGGTGGGCTGCAGGATATACAGGTGGATGGGCAGGTGTTAGTTCCAGACCGTCCCCGCAATCTCTCTGAGGCAGACAGTAGGGAGAGCCTGTAGCATCCCTGTAACCCAGCTGGCTCTGCCTGCCCCGCTCACTTCCCAGCTGGAGCAAGTGATGGCAGCTGGGGGGCAGCGTGAAGGGCTGCTGGTGCCTGGCAGTTCTTGCTCGGTACACAGGAACTCCTAGCTCCTACAAATGCTAGGAGCTTGGGTTAGGGGTGCCACGAGTACTCTGAAGGTGTTAACAGGGACTGGTTGAGTGAAGGACCTTGCTGGTGTTGGGAAGCTAGCTGAGATCAGGTGGTGCTTGAGCATGGCGTGGTTAGAATGGAGACTCGGTTACAGAAACAGTGGGTCCCTGGTGTTTTCCTAAGGGTGGATTACAGGCTTAGGATTCTGGGCATATTTTTGGGGAATAGACAGCATTTAAGCTTTGCTCAACACTAGCATCAGAAGGGGGCATCTCCACTGAGGGCTGGGGGCTACAGCCAGGGGCTGAGCTTGGTCTTAAGGACCAGGAGTACCTTTGAGTTCCTTACTCTGAGGGCTCCTGCTGTCTCCTATGGCTTGTCTTACTGGAACCCACAGGGCCTGTTGAAAGGTGGTGGGGCCTTTAAGAGGTAACGAGGGCCGGGTGGTTCTCGCGAGAGTGGGCGAGCCCTCTCGCGCTCCCACGGGCTCTTCCTCGCGGGCGGCCCGCGCCTCTGCCTGGTGGGGCAAAGCCGGCGAAGCTGGGCAGGCGTGGCTGCCAGGCCTTGGACCTCCAGTCGCCAGAACCGTGAGCTACGCGTGCCTCTTTCCGTACGAATCGCTGCGTTCTAGGTGTGCGGTGACGTTTGGGGGACACCCTGAGCAACAGCTGCGGCGCTCACGCAGGAGTATGCTTTTCTGGGGGTATTAGCGGAAAAGTGACCCCCTGGGCACCCAGTAAGGCGCTTCTCCCAGTAGGGTCACCAGGTGCAGTTCGCGGTTGAAGTGTGTGTTAATCCTGGCGTCGGGTGGTGTCCCCACGCTCTGAGCGGGGTGCTGGTCTGGAGCGAGCCAGGAGTTGCGTCTCCTCGTTACCAGGTTTGTGGTTGGATTGAAAAATAGTAAATGAGCAGTGGTCTCCGCGAAGGCTCTGGGCCCAGGTGCCAGGGGAGCGGCGGGCACCGGAGCCGGGGCTTGACTGTTGTACTTGGCGTCGTTAACTTAGCGCATGTGCGAGTCGGAGAGGCTGGCAGGGGCGGCAGTGAGCACAGGTGTGACCTCACGTGCAGGCGGCCGCGTGGAAGCGTGGAGGCCTTGCTGGTAACGGTCATGGGAGGCCGCCGCCGCCGCGATGCCTGTCAGGTGTGTGGGGGCGAGGGGAGGGCCGAGCTGCCCACCTTTCTGCCCCGGATATCCGAGACCCACCGCGCCGGGCCTGGTTCGAGGAAAACGAGGCCTTGGAGCGGAAGGCACCAAAACCCACGGGCCCGTCGCCATCCAGGGTGCGCATGGCGGCCTCGGTGAAGGCTCCGCGGCTGCCCACCCGGAGCCTTGTTTCCTGACAGGGCTGTGAGCTCGGGCCGCGGCCGCGGTGGAGAGGGCCCCTAGGCGCCCGGGGCGCCCGCGCACGGCCGGGGCCGGGGCTCGCGCGGCAGCTGCGGGCGGCGCGGCGGGAACAAAGGCAGCACGTGTCTGGGCGGGGTCGGCGCTCGGCCCCGCCCGTCCCCGGCGCGCCCCACCGGCCGCGCTCGCCCGCGCGGGCACGGGGACCCTCACGGACCGGACGGCTGCCGGGGCGGCGGCGCGCGGCGGGCGGTGAGTGGTGAGGGAAGGGTGCCACCCGGGGCGGGGCGGGACCTGCGCCGCGAGCAGCCGCCGCCGCCGTCGCCGCCACCGGGGCCCGGCTCCTGGATGGGGTAGGGCGAGTAGGGATCCTCCCCGCACGCCCGCGGCCTTGTCCTGCCGTACCGAGCGCGGCCGAGGCTGAGTCGCCGGTGGCCGCGGCTCCCCGGGACCCACCGGGCCCGCCTGGGCTCGGCGCGCGCGCCTGGCACCCGCTCGCTCCCGAGAGGGCGGCCTTTAGGGTGCGTGCCGGGGGCGGCCGGCGGGGGCGGGGCCGCGGCGCCTGCAGAACCTTGGACAGAAGCTTCGGCAGCGCCGCGGCGGCCGAGCGCGAGCCCCACCGAGAGCCGGGATCGCGGTGCCGGAGCCGCGGCGCGCATTGCAGAGGGCCCGGGGCGCGGGAGCCCCCGCCCGGCGGGTAAGCATGTGCGGGGCGGGTATCTGCCGGCCCCGGGAGCCGGGGCCGGGGCTGCGCGGGGTGTCGAGGCTGGGGTCTGCGGCTGCTTTCGGCCGAAGCTCCGGCCCCTCCCGGCTGCGCCTCGGGACCGCTGCGGCGGCTGCGGGCGGGGGTGCTGCAGTGGAGCCGGCGAGGCTGCGGTGCGCGGGCGCGGCCGGGACCGCAGAGCCTGGGGAAGAACCCCGAGTGGGTCGCGGGCCCAGGTCGGTGGGGCCCGGCGGGGGCGCAGGCGGAGGGGGCGCGGCGCGGAGCCCCGCCTGGTGCTGAGAACCATCTTGTTTTCCACGCAGATCCGAGGGGCCGGGAGCGCCCCCCACCCCCGCTTTCATTCCCGGGGCCGCCGCAGGCGCGGTGAGCTGGTTCTCCCCTCTGGCCGGCAGGCTGGGCGCGCAGGGGCGCGAGCCCCCGCCGGGCACGCAGCGGCACCATGGGCACGGTGCTGTCCCTGTCCCCCAGCTACCGGAAGGCCGCGCTGTTTGAGGATGGCGCGGCCACGGTGGGCCACTACACGGCCGTGCAGAACAGCAAAAACGCCAAGGACAAGAACCTGAAGCGCCACTCCATCATCTCCGTGCTCCCTTGGAAGAGGATCGTGGCCGTGTCGGCCAAGAAGAAGAACTCCAAGAAGGTGCAGCCCGACAGCAGCTACCAGAACAACATCACGCACCTCAACAATGAGAACCTGAAGAAGTCGCTGTCGTGCGCCAACCTGTCCACGTTCGCCCAGCCCCCGCCGGCCCAGCCGCCCGCGCCCCCCGCCAGCCAGCTCCCCGGCTCCCAGAGCGGGGGCTCGGGCTCCTCGTCGGTCAAGAAGGCCCCGCATCCCACCGTCACCTCCGCGGGCACGCCCAAACGGGTCATCGTCCAGGCGTCCACCAGCGAGCTGCTGCGCTGCCTGGGCGAGTTCCTGTGCCGCCGGTGCTACCGCCTGAAGCACCTGTCCCCCACGGACCCCGTGCTGTGGCTGCGCAGCGTGGACCGCTCGCTGCTGCTGCAGGGCTGGCAGGACCAGGGCTTCATCACGCCTGCCAACGTGGTCTTCCTCTATATGCTGTGCAGGGATGTCATCTCCTCCGAGGTGGGCTCCGACCACGAGCTGCAGGCCGTCCTGCTCACCTGCCTGTACCTCTCCTACTCCTACATGGGCAACGAGATCTCCTACCCGCTCAAGCCTTTCCTGGTGGAGAGCTGTAAGGAGGCCTTCTGGGACCGCTGCCTCTCCGTCATCAACCTCATGAGCCCCAAGATGCTGCAGATCAACGCTGACCCCCACTACTTCACACAGGTGTTCTCCGACCTGAAAAACGAGAGTGGCCAGGAGGACAGGAAGCGACTCCTCCTGGGGCTGGATCGGTGAGCCCCCGGGGCCTGTGCCGGGCTCACGGAGTCACTTCAATTTTTGTTTTCTTTTTTTTTTTTTTTATTTTTTAAAAATTGACGAAGCAGAACCGAGTGTTGTGTACAGTCCATGCCCAGCGCAGCTGCTGTGGTTCGCTCCTTCCCCACGGCCCCTTCTTGGGCGTTCTCTGCAGCCCCGCGGGTGGCCAGCCAGAGGACCTCATGCAAGCCCCCGAGGATGCGTCCGGAGCTGCCGGGTGGCCAGCCTCTCCTTTTGGGGACCACAGAGGAGACCCACCTGTCTCCACTGCCGGCGCCCTTGCTGGATCTAGGGTGGGCCAGGCTTTTGCCCCTTGCTGCCTGGACAGGTGCTGGTGAGGGCCCCCCCACAGCTGGTGGCCCTGGTGAGGAATTGGGGCTCCCAAGTAAAGGCTCTTTTTCAGCCACTGTTCTGGGTCACTCGTGCTCCCAGCGGCTCGTGGACGGCGCAGCCTGCTTTGGTGGAGCTGCTAGTGGGGTTGAGGTGGTGATGGGTGGGGACTGCCCAACCACCTGGGGGCGCCTTGGGCAGAGGCAGGCTGCAGCGGGGCAGGCGTGCGGTGGAGACTGTCTGGTTATTTGTCCGAGCCCGGCCCCGGTGTGCTGCTCCTTGAGGGTCAAGGGCTTCCTTTAAGTGCAGAAACGCCACTTGTACCACCTGCCCCCTTGTCTGCTGCCCCAAGCCAGGCTGGCAGCGTCAGCTAACAAGCTGGTTCCACTCAACCAGTTCTCTCATTTCGGGTCCCAGCTAAAGGGGTCGAGGTGGAGTTAAAGCTGACTTCTTTCCTGGGTGAATTTTTCACTTGAGAAGAGCAGCTCAGGTACCTGTGGTGTGGCCAGGATGGCCACATGTGCCTGGGAGCAGCAGCCTGCCTTCTGGCAGGTGGGTGCCCACCCCATTGCTGGGGCCTCCTGCTGCCAAGCTCTCCCAGAGAGGTGGCATTCTAGAGGTTGGGGACTTGTGGTCGTGGCGGCCTTGCCCCTGCCCCCACCCCCTGCCCTTGTCCTTGTAAGGCTGTTTGCAGACGGTTCTGAGACAGCTGGGGCTTGGACACAATGACGACATGCTGACTTGATGTGGCTCACACTCGGCCGCCTGTGCTGGCATCCACCCTGCCCCGGTGGCTGTGAGATCCCCCGGATGTTTTCCCCTAGTGGCTTGGGTCGTCTTCCGTGGCTTTGGAGAACAAAGACCTGCAGGAAGACTGCGAGGTCGCTGTCCCATCCCCTTCCCCGAGTGCTGGGGTGGGAGCAGGGCCATTTGGTACAGGCGGCTGGAGGCTGCCGGTTCAGCACAAGCACTACTGAATTCCTGTGAAAAAGAGAAAGCTGTGAAGCTGAGGGCTTGCAGGCCAGAGCCTGGGGCCAGAAGCCACTCACCCTGGCCAGCGGCTGTTCCTGGGCCTGCAGACGGAGCTGGAGGTGTGCACCCCCTGCCTGCCTGCCCAGCTCGTCTCCGCCTGTCAGGGGTCATGCATTCAGCTGGCGGAAGGGACTTGGAACTGTGTGGTGAGGGTGCAGCCCACAGGGTCTCGATTCTGTTTCCTTCTCTCTGTTTATGGTTTTCCTGGAGGAGGGGCACGTCTGGGCACAGTGGAAGCGGCTCCAGCTCATTGGTATGTGGTGCACAGCAACCTCACTCACCTTCTTTGGTTCCCAGTGTTATGTCAAGGAACAACTGGTCCACCTGAGTGTGCAAGCAATGGACTCAACTGACATGCTGCTATGAAGACTACTTTTAGAACAATGGGAAAAAACAAACTGACGTACAAAAACCCGATTCTTTAATTGTTGCTTTTACAGTGATATTGTGCATGCAAACCAGGAGCATTTTGTGTCTTAAGAAAAATAATCTTAGAACAGATGGCTGTGAAAATTACACCCATGCACAGAACAAGCCGCAGGAGTAATAGTTCCGGATTTGGTTTTTCCTCTTTTTTTTCTTGTAAACCTGAAGGGTTGATATATTATTTCCATGCGGTTATTAGAGTTTAGTTTTGTTCCAACACTTGTTCAACTTGCAATGAGAAGAGAACGTGCCATTTTTTTTCCCACTTGGAACTATTCATAGCTGTATATTTGAAACTGCTAACTACACATGCGTGATGTATGTTGATTTTTGTAGTGCAATTTCTTCTGTAGCTATTCTTTGACCAAGCTGTGGGTATTGTTAGTATTAATTTATATTCGTCTCATTCCGTATGTATGTGTCGTGTGTTTGTGAGTGTGTGTGGTTTATAATCAGTCATGAGGCTCAGTGTGGCTGTAACTTAATTCCCCTTCCCTTATTTTTATTTATTTTTGTACCGTGCTGATTCAATAAAACGCACCGACCGTCCATAACTCTGCCTGTTTCTGCGGGTCTCGCGGTGGGCAGGTTGATTCCTGGGCCGAACCTGTAACCGGATCTGTGTCATGGGGCATGGCAGGGGAGCAGAGCTGGGGGAAAGGGCTTAACACGCTAAGGTGATTAGGGAAGCAGTGGGCGGGGGTGGGGCAGGTCTCCCCCAGTGGAGGGGGTAGCAGGGTGCTTTTAGCCGCCCACGGTCAGGTGGGGGCTGGCAGGCCCCCCGGCCCTGTGGCCCAACCCTGCTAGGTGTGGCCCTGCGTGTGTTTGAGGGCAGGAAGTTCCCCAAGAAATCCAGCCCTGGGGCTCCCACATAAGCCACCCTGAGAGGTTGGGTCCTCTTGCCTGTGGTCCCCCAGGGCCAGTGCCGCCTGTGGCATGAGGCTGCCAGGGCTCTAGAAGGTCCGTCTGTGCTGGGCTGTGGTTCCCAGCTGTCAGCCCAGCGACAGGGCCACTCGCCCTTCGCCCTTCTTGCTGTGAGTGGTAGAAACTGCCCTGCTTCTCTTTCCTGGCCCTCAAGGCTGACTGGGAAGCCCCCAGAGGCTGGGGGGTCCTGCTGCTCTCCTCGTGTGTAGCCAGCTGCTGCCAGCTCCCCTTTCTTTCACGGGAGGTGCCTGTGCCGGGGCTGTGGCCCAGGAAGTTGTGCCCGGCCCTGGGTGTGGGACAGGGGGCCTGGCACAGGGCACGGTCCCCTTCCCCCATTGGATCTGTTCGTTATCTTTGGTCTTGCATTATTTGTGCTTCATTCTCCCTCCCTCCGCTGAGATGACGGTTTTCTTTTATGTAAGTGAAAAATGTCATGATGACAGTTTGCAGTGACACACAGGTAAAACACCTTTAAAAATAAGATTTAATGCTTTATTGCTCTCGGCAGTAAATCAACATATGCTTTAGAAATAAAGTTAATTTAATGGAAAACAGGAATGTATGCACGAAACAATCAAGAGAAACACTTCACTGCATACAATCACCGGTCTTCTCCCTTTCCCCTTTGCTGCGAGCACGCCCTCAACTCCCAAGCCTTTTGTAAGGACATCAAAAAGGGGGGAAAAAAGTGCTTGTGGACAGCGGCACCCCCCTGGTCTTGGGGGGGGAAGGTCCAGGTGTGGGGTCCTCTCTGGCCTCTGCCAGGTAACTTGTTTGGCATGATCTGTTCTGGGGTGCCTTCGGCACAGGGCTGGCGGAAAGTGAGGTGAGAAGTGGCTGGAGAGGCGGGGCTCTGGTCGGGGCACCAGCCTGGACAGACTGTGCTTGGCAGAGCTGGGACGTGGCTGTGCTGGGCCAGGCGCCGGTGGACTGTGTGGCCGGCTTTGCTGTAGTTTGCACACGGTGCAAATGAACGCCAGCCCTGGGGAGCCGTGGTGGGGTAGGCACCTAGACCAGGCTTGCCAGGCCACTCTGGGTCAGCCTGGCGACCACTCAGGCCTGGGCAAGGCACGGGAGGCTGTGGGCGGGCACTTGGTGGGCTCTGTTGGGGTCAGCGTCCACAGCAGATGATGAATAACATTTGAACACATAGCTGTGATGCCCCTGCTGGTCCCATTTCCCATCCCCGCCCCGCCCCGCCCCACCCCGCCCCACCCCAGTGGATTATTTCATTAGAGAGCATTCTCTATCTGCTGGTTCACTCCTCCAATAGTCACATCAGCTGGGGCTGGGTGCAGCCTGTAGCCTGGAACTCCATCCGGGTCTCCCATGTGGGAGTGCAGGGGCCCAAGCACCGGGCTGTCTCCTGCTGTTCTCCCAGGCAGCAGCCCCACCGCTCTGCCCTGATGGCAAAGGTCTGTGCTCCCAGTCTGGGGTCTTCCAGGCTCGTGGTAGGCGGGCTGAGCTGTGCCCCCTCCAGGCCTGGGGCTTGGGGAGGAAGGCACTCCAGATACACACAGTTATTTTGTTGGGCAGAAACTGGCAAGACAGTGGCACTCCTGGTGTGAGGGCCTTGGGTCCCAGGTGCTGGCAGGGGCGTGCAGGGCATGGGGAGGGGGCGTCTTGGCCTGGCCTGCAGTGCCAAGACCCCGCACTGTTTTCCGTTGCTCCACTTGCCGTGATTCCTGGGCACAGCTCCCTGGTGGGTGGGTGCTGGCCCTGCAGCGCCCCTGAGAGGATGGCTGGAGTGAGGGCTGCAGGCTGCGGTGTGGGGAGGGTGGCTCCTCTCCCCAGACAGGATCCTGGTGGCAGGCGCCTGTCCCAGGGCAGGCTCGGTGGGCTCTGCAAGTGGACACACATCCCAGGGGTGTCCACTGGCAGCTGGGGTGCAGTGGAGGAGCTCTGGGAAGCGCGCCCCCGAGTAGGAATTTGGTGATCACCTTGGGAAAGGAGGGATGGCAGGTGGAGCTCAAGGGGAGAGGGGAGAGCTGCTCGCCGTGTCCTGAGCCACCCTTGGCCCAGGCGTGCTGATGTGACCCGGCTGGGCGTGGGCCACCTTCCCGCCAGCAGCTGCCTCCAAGGGGGAGCCGTGGCCTGCAGCAGGGCACTGGGGTCTTTAGTGTACTGAGAGGTTGTTGTGCAAAGTGGAGACGGGAAGACAAGACCAAAAGCAGAAAGCTGCAAGTCCTGATGGGCGGAGGAGGCCCCTGCCTCCGGCGTGGACCCTCGCAAGCTGATTTCTAGCAGGCATTAGCGGGGAGGTAGCAATTAGACAGGGACCCAGGGTGCCGAGCATGGCCGCCTGCTCCTGGGGTGGCCGGCCGTGCTCTCCCAGGCCAGGCTTCGGCTGGCTGAAGCGGTTAGTTGCCGGGCACACTGAGGATGAAACCCGAACGGTTCTTGGTGAAGTCGGGCTCGGGCTGGTTGAGCCGCGTCTCCACAGACACGGTGCACTTCTTCCCGTGCAGGCTGCACTGTACCGGGTTTGTGACGTTCACTTGAAGGTGGCGCTTCTCACTGCAAGAAACACAAAGATGGGGGAGGGAAGCGGGGGTGGGGGGGGAAACAGGTCAGTGGGCAGTGTTCCCAGAAGGTGGGCACAGGGTGGGGAGCCCCGCGTTTGCAGGGCCCTGACCTGTCAGTTTCTGTCTAGAAAGCTTCCTCCTGCCTGTTCTCTGGGTCCCCGCTAGCCAGCCCTGCCTGTCAGCGTCCACCCATGAGAAACAGGTCTGCCTTAGTTCCCCCACCACCTCAGGTCCCGGGCCCCCTGCAGGCTCTTCCTGCAGCCTGGGGCTGTGACTCAGTTACAGCACCAGGGGGGAGCTCACAGTCTGCCCGTGGGGGGTGCCACGTGTCCCTGGCCAGCCTGAGTGGGCCGGCCTGGCTGAATGCGACCTGCCAAGCAGGAATAGAAGGCTCCGCAGTGGCTCCCCACGCGGCGCTGAGCAGTGTGTGCTCTGGGACCTGCTGCTGATTTGAAACGCTGTGAAACTTGCTCGCTGCCTGCAGTTTGCACACTGCTGCTCTGTGGGCCTGGCTCTTGGGGCGGGAGGGAGACAAGCCTGTTGCCTGGGTGCCCGCTGGGCCCTGGGCAGCCCTGGGTGCGGGGCAGGTCCTTGCTGGGCTCAGTGGACTAAGGTTATGAAGAGCGAGGGCTGCACTGCTGAGCTACTGTCGGGCCAGGAGGGGTGGCGTGCTTGTGGATGCACGTGTAGGGGTGCGTGTATGTATGTGTGCAGTGTGTATGTGTATATGGTGTGGCTGTGGTGTTTATGTGGTGTAGATGGATGTAGTGTGTGTGTGTGTCTAAGCACTGGCCGGTCTGCAGGACACAGGTCTCTGATGCCTACACAGCTCCCCAGCTGCAGGCAGGTGTCTGTGTGCTGGCATCCGGAGTGGGGGGCTGTGTTGGACCACCTGCCCAAGGCATGCCCCTCAGAGCTGCCCTCCTGGCTGCTCTGTTTAGAGGCAGGAAGTGGATGTGGATGCGGGACGAGACTTAGGGGTATCAGCTGTGGCCATTAGGTATCCAGCACTTAGTGTCTTGTCAGCTGCAGCTAAAACCTTGGCTTTGCCGGCTATTTTTAAGCAGACTTGAACATAAAAATAGCAGAGCCTATCAGAGGCGGTGACTCAGGCCCCTTCTGTCCCTGCGGGCTGGATGTGTGGCCCGGTGTGAGGTTCCTGCACGGCCTGTGCTGGCCCAGAATGAGAGCCCCTGAGCTCAGCAGCCTCCCTGTCAGCCCTCCCCCCCAGCCCCCCAGGCCTCTGCATCCCTCCCCTTCCCGGGGCCTCCTGCCATGATGGCCTGGTGACTGGGGTCTTGGAGGGCAGGCCCTGTGTAGCCACATTCAAGGTCAGCTTGAAGACAGAACAAGGGCCAAGGGGATCAGCCAGCTCCACGGCTGCCAGCTCCAGCCGTGGCTCCCACCTGGCTCCAGCCCCCTGCTTGGTGCCGTCCATGTCAGCAGAGGCCCTGCCCTGCCCTAGCTCCTCCTCGCTTGGCTCTGCAGTGTCCAGTGTGCTCTCAGCAGCCGGGGGTTGGGGAGGCACCCAGGTTGGGCTGGCAGTGTGTGAGAGGGAGCCCCTAAGGTGGCAGGAGAAGTTGGGGAGAACCGCTGCTCCCCTGTCCCTGCCCCCTGTTCCAAGTGGGTACCAGCTGCGGGCGGAGCTACCAGCAGATGGACGAGCAGAGCCAGTGTGGCTGCTTAGCTGTGCTCCCTGCCCCACTGAACTGCAGGTGTCCCCTCTGCCCTCCGCACCCCGCACCTCCGAGGTTCCTGGGGCGAGGGCCACTATGGGGCAGTTTCAGGGCCTGCTTCTTGCCTGCAACAGTTTGGTCTGTGGCAAACATGCCCCCCGCCCCCCGCCCACACCAGACAACGTTCCCAGCCAGGATGGCTCCGACAGGAAGGGGCGGCCCAGAGTGCAGCTCCCTGCCTTGCCCGTGTTGGCTGCTTTAGGGTTTTAGTGTAGGAGCCGGGGCCACAGGGGCTGGGGGCTCCTCAGGGCCCTGCCAGCTTGCTTCAAGAGCCTCTCCAAGTCACTCAGACCTCTGTGGGTCCCTCAGAGCTGTGTGTGTGTGTGTGTGTGTGTGTGTGTGTGTGACACGAACCTTAGCGGACAGCTCCACCTGCCCAACAGCAAGGCCTTCCCCAGGCACTGAGCGAGGCCCGACCCCCACGGTTTCTCGTGTTTGTCGTCTCACCTGCGAAGCCTCCTGACACCTGCTTGTTTTTATTTAGAGCATGTACAAGCAAGTGAGCAGGACTTCTTTCCCATCTGCTGGTTCACTCCCCAGAAGCCGGCAATGGCTGGGGCAGGGCTAGGCCAAAGCCAGCAGTTAGACTCAGTCTGGGTCTTCCACATGGGTGGCAGGGGCCCACATACTGAGTCCCTGCCCGCTGTCTCCCAAGGTGCATGGCAGCAGTGGGGCCAGGACCAGAGCCTGAGTATTCTGATAGGAGATGCAGGCGTCCTAACTGTGGCTTAGCCACTGGACTCACAGCCAGGGCGTGCTAGGGCACACCGAGTGAAGGGGCAGGGCATGCTGGGTGGGTCAGGAGGAGAGCCGTCACCGCCGCATCTTAACAGGAAGAACACATGTGTGTTGCTCTTGTGGGTCCCCGCTGCCTGGATGCTGGATTCTAGCTCTGTCTTTTTAAAAATATTTATTTCATTTTTATTGGCAAGTCAGATATACAGAGAGGAGGAGAGACAGAGAGGAAGATCTTCCATCCGATGATTCACTCCCCAGGTGGCTGCAACTTTGGAAGCTGAGCTGACCTGAAGCCAAGGGTCAGGAGCCTCTTCCGGGTCTCCCCTGTGGGTGCAGGGTCCCAAGGCTTTGGGCCGTCCTTGACTGCTTTTCCAGGCCACAAGCAGGGAGCTGGTTGGGAAGTGCAGGGTGGACAGGATTAGAACCAGCGCCCATTTGGGATTCCAGCACGTGCAAGGTGAGGGCTTTAGCCATTAGGCTACCATGCTGGGCCCTCCAGCTCTGTCTTTACTTTTCCACACCTGCTCAGCATCCAGGCCATTTGCACTGACCTGCTCTGTTAGAATGTGTATTCCTGGGTATGTGTATGCAGGAGCCTCTGCAGGTGTTGGTGGGTGGCCCAGGGGTGTGGCCGTGCAGGCCACAGCTCATGTGCTTGGCCCATGGCCCTTTCCCTGCAGGGTGAACTGCACCAGCTGTGAGAGGTGAGGAAGGTGACAGGCATGATGAGAAACATCCTCCTGGGACATGTTCATTCCGAGAGGTTGGCGGCTGGAGGCCCGGGAGGAGGTCTGCTGCTAAGCTGGGACAGACAACTCTGCGGAGCCACCTTGAGCCACAGTGTCTGCACAGGAGCCCTGGCCTGGCTCAGGCAGGACAGGGTGTGAAGAGCCATGCTCAACTACGCCCCACCGTGCCATTGGCATCCTGCCTGCCACTGCCAGACCAGCATGGTAAGCAAGACCTGGGTTGCATGTGGCGGTCCCCTGAGGAGGTGCACACGGGATGGTGGGGCAGTTCCCAGGGGCAATGGAGCAGGCATTTCCTCAGAACTCATATGTGAATATCTGTGGCAGCACTGTCTGTAGAATCCAGCCCAAACACCCACAGGGGGAGGAGGAGGCACAGAGTGTGGTCCACCTGCTCAGTGGAGTATTAGCAGGAAAAAGCAGTTGAGCAGCAGCCCCTCAACGTGATGAACTTGGCACTGTCAGGCTGAAGGCAGACAGCTGCAAAGGGCCCTGTTTCTGCAGACTGGCCGGGACAGGCTGCTTCCTGGGAGGCGTGGGTTGCACAGCATTGTGCATGCACTGGATGTGGTAACTTGTGTGTTACTCTAAGTTCAACCAAGATTTCAAGAGCAGTGTGAGACTGCTTGGGCCTCAAAGGCTGGGCTCGGCCCTGACTCCTGAACTTTACCCAGGCTTGGTTCTCTGTAGAGCCGAGCTCCTTCCTCATTTTTAAGAGCAAACACCTTGCAGATGGAGGCCTGCCCGAGTTCTCCCTGTGACGTGCGCCATCTCCAGGCATCCACATAGGAATAGCTGTGTGCAGGGTGCTTCCTCCCCAACTCCTGCTGAGCTCTGTGACCCAGCCGACTCGGGGTCTGTTTCCTCTGCCCCTGCCTTCCTCCCAGAGCCCCCTTTCCCTCTGTCTCCTGCTCACTGGGGGTTGAGGCAGTCCAGGAGCTGGATGGACCCAGGACACCCATCCTTCCTTCCCAGGCCCTGGGGCTCCAGGCAGCTTGCGGGATGAGCAGATGGAGAGATGGGCCAGGCAGGGCCTCTTGTTCTTGTCCCAGGCACACCTGGGGTTCCCTCTGCTGGGGGCTGACCCAGGCCCCAACAAGTGCAGGGGGGCAGGGGGTGGAGGCAGTGTGGGAGCTCAGCCAGGCAGCCACCTGCGTTAAATGTGGGGAGAGCTGGGCCTTTTGCCAGGCAGCGAGCAGCCGCTGTCCCTGGAGCTCCCTGAATGATCCGAGGGCGGCCTCCCTGGTGCCTGTGGCTCCCGCTCCCTCCCAGTGCTTCACTTCCCTGAAGCAGGTTCCTCTGCTGATGGTGATGGTCAGCAAACCAGAGAGGGCACCTCTTTCAGACTCTGCTGCATGAAATGCCACTTCTGCTTTGGGTAGGGTTGGCGGACACTGTCTGGCCTTCCTGTGGGTGCCCAGGATGGTGGTGTTGCACTTCCTGTTCTGTTGGTAGCAGGAAAGGGATGGGGCAAAACCCTTTCTGTCTGGGAAACAGAAGTGCTCTCTCAGGCACCAGCTGGTCATGCCCGGGGCTGTCTGGACCAGCATGCACTGTGACTGCACCTGAGCTAGCGCCTGCCTCTCCCGCAGCCTGGACCCAGAAAGGGGTGGTACAGAGTCTGCAGGATATGTGGGCCCCTCCTGGTCTGGATCCCCACCTTCTACACCCCCAGACTGCCACCAATAGCACTTGCTCCTCGTGCTTCCTGCAGGTCAGCTGGCACTCCCTGCTGCTGGAGCCCCTCTAGCTGCTCTGAGCACCCTGCT